GAATTCCTGCCTTCATGAGGCTTCTCACATCCTGTAACTGCCAGTCTTCAGTCACAAGCCTCAAAACAGGGAGTGGGACAGAGCAGAGAACACCTGGCCTTGCCAAACAAGGTCTGCCTCTCTCTCTGCCTTAAATAGTCCCTGGGGGTTGTGTCCTGGCATCAGCCTTGCCCTTCTCACACCTGACAACAGTGCAGGTCTCTGGCTGATCAGGGGGCTGAAGAGCAGCACCAGTCAGGTGGGCAGGGGAGAGGCTGTAGCTGAGATCTGCAAAGCTAAACCACTCTGATTAGAAATGGTTTATTTAATTGTAATTAGGAAATAAAATGTAATTCAGAAGTACACTCTCCCATATAGCTTGGGAATAAACAGCCATGCCTTTTTTTCCTTACCCAGAGCTATCTGTTGGCTTCTTTGGTAGAGGTTGGTTGTTTCGGTGGGGGGTTCTGTTTGTTTGTTTTTTTCAACTATTTAAAAGCTCAATTAAAGGCCAGTGTGCAGGGCCACCTTCAGGAAATGACAAATTCTTATTCCATCACAAACAAAAATTATCCATGGCAAGGATCATGCTTTGGTTTGTTTTCAGCTGGCTGGGAGGTGTTCAGGTTCTTGTTAATGAACTGCAGAACATTTCCCTCTAACCACTGCACCAAACCTGTAGGTTATGGGGACAATAGGTCTGTAAACTTGCTGCCTGTACCCTATGGATGTAAATCCGTGGTGTGTAGTGGCCATCAAGAAACACGGATGTGCCCAATTAAACATCCTCACAATACACCTACACAGAGCAAGACAAAGACTTACAAAATCTGGTTTGGTGCTGCTTTTGCAATTCCAACCATGAGAAAACACTCCAGCTGATGTTTAAGATGAAAACCCCCAGCCTGCACCTGCACAAGTGCTTTAGCAGCAGTGTCTGTGTTCCGGTTCAGCCGCTGCTGGAGTGGATTTGCAGGTGACTGTCTGTGCCTGGGAGGGGGTCTGACAGCAGAGCACAGATCTGAGAGCACAGGAACCACTGACGGGGCATGGCACTGCACATCAAACACAGAATTACTCTGGCTGAGGATCTGCTCCAGTAATGAGGAGAGCAGATCTTCCCCAGGCACACCGAGTGTTAAACAGGCTTGTCCTCTAAACTGGGGTGCCAGACAACCCCTCCCTTCATGTCCACCTCTAACAGCTGCCCAGGTGAAAGAAAAATCAGCAGTATCACAGCTTTCCAAGAAAGAAAATGCAGACCTTTCTCACATAAATAGTCTGTGGTCTGCATGGCTGTGTGAAACGCAGCAAGCAGGAGCTCTTGCTGTGGCTGCCCATGCTGTGGCTGATTTACAGTGTCCCAGGTCATCTGGGCTGGAGGGAGTTCAAAAGCAGCAGCCAGTGGGGGTCCCTGGCCCTCCCAACCCAGCGTGGACATGAACAGCAGCCCATCCCACCCAGGAAAGATGGATTGCCTCCAGCCCAGCTGAGATTCCCATCAGTCAGTGGGAGTCCCGGGAGGACAGAAGGAATCTGAAGCACAGAGCTCTGTGGCTGCAGGCACTGCTGGGGACAGGAGGGGACAGAAGGCAGCCATGGCCCAGTCCTCTTCACGTGTATTCCTCTGAGGTACTGCTTGGTTTCCCAGAGTGTGGCACTCACTGCACTGTGCACACAGGCAGGGCTGACCGTCCCCAAATGAGTATTTGCCCAAATTCATTGGCAGCTCCAAATACTGACCATGATTCCAGGGTCAATCACTGCTTTGCTGGGAGCTTGTCCAGCTCATTACAATGGAACTAAAGTGTCTGACTGTGACCTCGAGCCACAGGAGAGTTGTACCTAAGTGTGTTATTTTGAAAATTCCCAATAAGGCACTTGGAGGGTCATGTCATCCTTTTCAAGGCGTCCAGCAACCCACCGAGGCATTGAAAGAATTTGGCCAGCAAGAAGCTGTGAAGGAAAAGAAAAACATGAAAACATTTTGCAAAGGGCCTTTAAGGAGAACTGGCACAACTCAGAGAAGAGAGAGCATGAGGAGGGATAAACTGAGGCAGAGTGGGAATGCTGTGTGGCAGGAACAGAGGCACCTGCAGTGCTGGTCTGGGAAAGAGTTGGATCAGTCTGACAAGGGAACAGTGTGATTTGGGAGGGAAAAGGCAATGTCTGCAATGGAAGAACAAACTAAAAAGCAAAAGTCATCCAACAAAACCCAGGTACATTATTCAGGTACCTAATTCAGATTAGCATTGTGTAAAAAACCCTTTTTGCTGACACTGATGCATGAAACACATCAGGGTGGTGTTCTCCAAAGCTGTGTTCTGCTCCATTAATGACATTTCTATTGACTACTCTAAATAAAGGGATCATCCTCTATTTCCTTCAAGATTCCAGCTCTGTGGATCAGCCCCACCACAATTTGCTTGAAGGAAACTGGTAACACGCCTGAAGATCCAGAGCCTCCCACAACAGCCCCTGATGGGCACAAACCACATCCAGATTCCCTGTGCTGGGCTCTGCTGCTGCCCCAGGAGTACCACCATCATTATTAATACCAGAATAATGAACAGGGCTGCCCATTAGAGATGCAGAATCCCTGCCTGAAAAGTGAGGCTATTCCTATTTTCCAAGAAAAAATAAGGAACCGTTCCTCCCATACATCATTTGCTTTCTGTGACTTTATTCCCTGAAGTTCGAGTCATTTTCCACTGATTTGTTCATGCTGAGGAAGGAGAAAAAGAAAACACTCATTAAAAACAAACAAAGAAACTGCAAATTAAACCAAGAGCCCCAGTGAGGGCTCTGACAGGCAGGTTAGTGTGTGGTTGGGAAGTCTGGGGGACCTGAGCCGTGGTGTTCCTGAGGGAACAGCCCCGAGCTGTGGGGGATGTTGGAGGATGTGACACATGGACAGTGCTCAGTGCCGGGGCCTGGGAAGCTTTGCCTGGATAAAGGATCTGGATAATGGATCTCGGTACTGAATTTGAATCCAGTGCCACAGTGACACCCTGATCCAAGGCTGGGCAGAGCTGGGTTGTTCCCTGGTGCTGCCTCAGGTGTGATGCTCTCCTGCACAGGCTCCTACTGACCTGCCCCCTGTGACCTGCACGTGCTTCCAGGAGCTCACAGACCACAGGGATGAGCTGTGGAGCACTGGCTGCCCTCCCTCCTGGCTCGGACAAGCCAGGTCATACCATAGAGAGGTATGTTAGAAACTTGAAAAATGACCTGAACTTGTGCCCCAGTTTTGGTATGTACACTTTGCTGTGCAGATCCACTTCACGAGCACTTCCTTCGCTCAGCTTTCCTCTTCACAGCACTTCTGAGCTCACACTCAGTCACACTTTCTTGCCAAAGTATAGTTCTACTTAACAAAAAGCTCCCTTCATTCTCTGTTCTTAAAACATTGGCAAGGTCCATTGTACATTTAAAATATTTTTTTAACATTAATGCAGATTTTCAGGTATGTGTTTTTGTAAAACATTCTCAGAAGAAACTTCAGTCCTGTTTCTACCACAAATTATTGAGGCTAGTACAAATCATTAAGCCTTTCCAGTAGAAAAAAACTTACGAAAGCACTTGATGCTTTGCCTTTCAGACTGTAATTAGGATGGAGAAAATGCACCTAAGGATTGACCTGCCCGCCCTTTCCCCTTTTATCACTCAGGGGAACAAAATTCAGAGTGAGCTCCCTGATCTCAGGGTAGCACCTAAAAATGCCACCTTAGGATTTAGTGCAGGGCTCAGTTGAGGTGGTGGTATTTTTTCTGAGACCCAAAGTGCCAGTTGCACAAGGTCAGTGTTTCTTGGCACAAGCTCCCATGCTGAATCAAAGTGAGATGATCCATGTTGCACAGAGCCAGCTCCTGAGATGATAACAAACATCAGCCAGTGAACACCACAAGTAAAGTTCTAGCTGGCTTACACAGAACATCCCATTCCTGCCAGCTTCCTGAACTCCCACAGCTTGCCTTTGATTTGGGGTTTGTCTGAACAGCTTTAGAACTTTTAAAAGATATATTTGAGGCTTTATCTTGTCTTTGAAGTTTTATCTTACCATGACATCTCAAGTGGAACAGATTTGGTTTGCCCTACAATGACCCATTTCAGCAGAAACACGCCGTCGGTCGAGGCTGTTACAGGCACCGTTCGCCGAACAGGAGCTGAGGTACTGACGGACTCGGTCTGCAAGGGGAGAGAAATTGTCCCTCCAAAAGCGAACTGCGGGTGTCATCGGCCGCTTTTTGGAGGGGTCACGCACGAAGTTCCCCCGACGGCAAACGCTCGTTGTCTGCGAGGGCCGGCGGGGCTGCGGGTCGCTCGCCCAGGCACCCGAGAGCCCCCGGCGGAGCGGCCGTGCCGGGGCGGGGGAGGGTCACGGCGGGGCGGGCGGGCTGCGGGGCCCGGCGGGCAGGCAGAGCCCCCCCGGGAGGAGGAGGCGGGTGGGGGGTTGTCCCCTGCCCGCAGGGGCCGCGGTCCGGGCGGGCGCTCCCGGCGCGGGGGCACGGCCGGTCCTGGCCCCGGGAAGCGCCGCGGGGTTGGGCGGGGGCTGCGAAGGGAGTTAATTTTGCTTGGAACGGTTCCTGGCAGGGAAGGAGCTGACGTGTGGAGACGCCTCCCGGGGATGAGCCGCCGGCGGAGCCGGGAACGCTCCGCACAGGCGGGACGGGGCGCGCAGCTGGGACGCACCGCGGGCACCGGCGGCAGCTCCTGCCAATCCCTGCGGAATTCCAGCTTTCCCTGTGAGCGGCAACTACCGGCACATGGCGCCGGCCGGGGCACCGTGGGGCAGCTGTCAAATGACAGCGCTTTGGGTCGTGACATCGCTGAGGGGAAACCCGAGAGTTTGGGGGGCTGCGTCGTGGGTCGTTTTTTCTTTCAAGTTAAAAATTCCTCTCGTGCTTATGGCGTAAACCCGAGCAGCTCCGCTCGGCCGCCGCTATAAATGCCTTTGTGTTCTGTTCCCCCCGCAGGAACCGCCGCTGCTGTTGGGGATGACAGCGTAGGATCCCCTCGGGATGGAGGCCCCGCGCGGGGAACGGGCCCGCTGGCTGGGGACCCTCCTGGCCGCCTGCCTGGCCACCCTGCCCGTCATCAGCGCCTGTCCCCGGCCCTGCGCCTGCCACGGCCCCGCCGAGCTCCACTGCACCTTCCGCTACTTCAGCGCCGTCCCCCCGCGCATCCCCGCGGACGTGCAGCGCATCAACCTGGGGTAGGTGGGACAGCGGGGCTTTTAACGCTCTGACCGGTTAGCTTTCAACACTTTGCGGAGCAATAATTAAGAGTTTCCAGATTTAGAGCTAAAAATTAACCAAAGCAATAAATAAGTCTGTAGAGCTTAATGTTCTGTCTGCAGCACTCAGCAGTGGCTGCAGTCACAGCTAGCGAAGCCTGAGACCACCCACACTAAGGGGAAATTCGGGGGATCTAGCACAGGGGAGGTGAGAACTTCAGAAAGTTTTCAACTTAAATGAATTCCTTTGTATTACCTGAAAAAATTGCATCTGTAATGTGGGACTGAGGAGTCTGAAACAGAGGGAATTCGGTGGAAAAGAGTACGTGTATTAAAATCTTCAGCAGAGACTGTGCTGTGAGTTGAGAATGTCCCACAACGTTAGTGTCTGTGCTTTCATCTCCTGGGTTCGTGGGAAGTCGCACTTGTCCGGCCGTGTCAGCCTCCACGAGGGTTCTGTTCCATGCATGGTTAAAGGAGCAGGGGATGGAACATGCCCAGGCTCATCCAGCCCCTTCCTGCAGTTTCCAGCAAGTGTCCTCTGTCATAAATCAAACGACAAGACCCATCAGCAATATTTGACTGGTCCGGGTATCCCTCTTAATACACATAATGTCTGAATCATCCAGCTGTGTCTGCAGAAAATCTAAAAGGAATTTTTCACAGAGGCAGTAGGGAAGTCAACACGCTGTCAGACAAACAGATGTGTTTCATGCTTGCTGTTACTCTCCCCGTCCATGGGAATTCAGGTGTCAGAACGCTGCCCTGGAAAAGTGACCATGTTTTGTGCTAACATGAAGGCATGACTTAGAATTTTGTCTTGGCAAGCAGAAGTGCTGCCTACCTTCAGCCATTCCCAAAGAGTGGTTCTTTTCTTTCGGGTTGGTTGCTTTTAAAAGGTGTGAAGTGTGGCTGACTAAAGCCATCTGTTACAGCTACAACAGCCTGAGAAAACTGAGCCCTACAGACTTCGCTGGCCTGGAGAAACTGGAGTTACTGATGCTGCACAGCAATGAGATCAGTGTGATCCCTGAGAGGGTGTTCAGTGATTTACGGTCACTACAGGTGAGAACTAAATGAGCCAACGTTAAATTTTGTTACCACTTAAAACAACTTTCAGAGATAGAGGTAAACAGCCCCACAGTAACTGGCTGCAGCATTTCCTTTTCCTGTTTCTTATCCTGTCCATATGAAAGTTGAGGGTCTTCAAGATCCAGTAGCCTAATGGGAAAGGTCTTTCCTTCCCAGGTGGGCACTCAGGTACAGTGTAAAGATCAGCAGCATTTGTTAGAGTCCTTATAACATGGTTTAATATTATGCATTTTCTACTTTTGCATCAACAGGTCTTAAAAATGAGTTACAACAAGGTCAGGGTGCTTCAGCAGGGTGTGTTTTATGGCCTGAAGAGCTTGGCACGGCTGCATATGGACCACAACCAAATTGAATTTGTAAATCCCAATGTTTTCTATGGACTCACTTCCCTGAGGTTGGTCCACCTGGATGGAAATTTACTTCAGCAGTTGCATCCAGACACTTTTGTCACCTTCCACTATAGCCAAATATTCAAAATATCCTTCCTGAAGCACATCTCTTTGTCTGACAATATGCTGACTTCACTTCCACAAGAAATGTTTTCCTACATGTCCGAGCTCGAGAGCATTTACCTGCATGGAAACCTCTGGTCCTGTGATTGCAGCCTGCAGGGGTTCACAGAGTGGGCACAGGAGAGACCAGGTGAGCTCAAGGCCTTGTTTATGCTCCTTAATTCTGCTGTAGCCTCTTTTTTCTTGCTGATACAAGTAATTGTCTTTTATTAATTTATTTATGCTACCAGAAAAGACTGGAAGACAGGATTTTTGTAGGTGTGTGTAATCAGAATAAAGAGGTAAATACCACTCAGCTTCCCAGATTAAATGTATCTAGTGGCCTTAACAAATTCCCAAGTGCAGCTTTCCTTAATGGAATGCTTTCCTTGGACAGTCCAAAGATTCTGTGCACCAGGAGAATCCACAGGGAATAATGAAGCTAACTTTTATGGAAGTGGCAAGAACAAGTGCCACTTTGCACTTAATTCTTCAAAAAGGAGATAAGGAATTCAAGGGACTCGAGGACTATCTCTGCTGCTGCCATTCATATGTTACTTTAAGATTTGCTTTTCTTTTATTCAAAAGAACCACTTGTTAATACCTGTATGTAATTTTTAATACTAAAACTTGTAGCACAGAAGCTGATTCCACTTTTCTTCTCTTCAGATGTTATAAAGTGTAGAAAAGACAGAAGTTCTGGTGCCCAGCAATGCCCAGTCTGTGCTAGTCCCAGAAATCATAATGGGAAGAGCTTAATGGATCTTCCTTCTGCATCTGTCACCTGCAATAAGCCAGTCATACACGACTTCCTGAAATCCAGAAACCTCACAGTGCCAGACGATGGGGATTTCGGTTCCGTGTCTCCCAAGGACTTCATAGCTCCGATAGGATCCGTGGTTTTGAACATGACTGACCAAGCAGGAAATCGAGGCAACGTGGTCTGCAATGTCCAAAAACCTAAAGAAATGTCTCCCACCTCATTTGACCAAGATGGCAGCAGCACAGTGCTCCAAACCTCGTTCTCAGCATTCCTGGTGTGTGGCATCGATCACGGACACATCCAGCAGCTGTGGAGCATCCTGGCACTGTACAGCAATTCTCCCTTGAAATTGGAGCGGACTGCTCAGGCAACTGATGTGCCTTTTATTAGTTACAAATATAAACAGGTCTACACTGAAAAAGATGAACTTTTCACCAATATTGAGGCTGACCTGAGAGCTGAGCCAGCCTGGCTGATGCAGAGCGTGGTGGCACTGCAGCTGGACAGGACAGCAACCACGCTCAGCACGCTGCACATCCACTACTCCACCCGTGCCCGGGTCAGTGTGCCCAGTGCTGACAGCAGCCAGGGCAGCAACAACTGGGCCATCATCTACAGGGACAACAGCACCCAGAGAGAGCACACTGTGCTCGTCGGGGGGACCGTGGAACTGGGGTGCCAGGCAGCTGGGGAGCCAGCCCCTGCCGTGGAGTGGATATTGGCCGATGGGAGCAGAGTGCGAGCTCCTCACATCAGCGAGGACGGGAGAATCATCATCCTCAGGGCCGGAACACTGACCTTGCGCACGGCTGATGTGTTTGACACAGGGCTCTACCACTGCATCGGCTCCAACAGCAACGATGCCGACGCTCTGACGTTCAGAATCACGGTGGTGGATCCTCACGTGGAACACGACAGCGTAAATGGAGCCCAGCTGTCGGCAGCTGTGGGCAGCACACTGCACCTGCCCTGCACAGCCACGGCTGCTCCCGACGCTGCCATTACCTGGGTGTTGCCTGAGCTCACAGTTCTTCGTCACTCTGTAGGAAACAAACATATTTTTGGCAATGGCACCTTGAGAGTAGAAGGGGTGACAGAGCGAGATGGAGGGTACTTCCGATGCATTGCAGCCAACCAGTACGGTGTTGACCTTCTGGTTTTCCAAGTGCTAGTGAAACGGGATGAAACCGCTCCAAAGAAAAGGCTTGGAGCTGTGGGAGAGTGGGAAGAGGGTGATGGCTCTGGTAACGCACTGCTGGGCTCTGCTGCAGCACAGACACATCCCTCAGCCACTCCAACCACCCTGACAGCTCATCCGAAATCCGCTGCATCACCATCCGGCAGCCGGGGCACACAGAGCGCACCTCAAAGGAACAGCCACAGGAAAATGCCTCACAGGCCCTACAGGGACAGAACAGGCAGGCTCAGGCGGCTCAGGGGGCACAGGAGACAGTTTGTTTCCTCAGGCAGGAGAGTCGATCCACAGCGCTGGGCAGCCTTGTGGGAGAAAACTAAGAGAAACTCAACACTGACAGACAAACGGGGAGAAGTTGCAACAGAACCACCCATTCAAGTCCAAAAGTTCTCAGAGGTACCTGGGGCTGACGAGGAGACCTCTGGTGATCTCGGATCTCCAGAGGAAGAATTCATGATGCCAGTAACAGAGAGAGCCCCAGTACCTGCTCTGGGGAGACCAATGGAACGTGTGATCACTGCAGGGCCCGGGGGCACTGTGAGTCACACTCCTGCCAGGAAAACCTCCCTCCTGGTCACAGAGGCAGTAACTCCTCTACCCTCTCCTCTTCCACAGTCTGTGTCACCTGGCAGCAGAAGGCCACAAACATATCCAAAACCTACAGACTCATGGGAAAGATCTGATTTGAGTCAAATATCAGCAAATGGTGTGAAACAATCAACCGTATCAAGTGGAGCAAGTGGAACATCCACAGTCTTCCCTGCTGGGCAAAGGCTGGTGTATTCTGGGCAGGGTAATAACCAGCATCTAAAATCTGCACCCATGACACCCATGACAGAAGCTACAGACACCAGTAAGGCTGTAGCTCCCCAAAACACAATTGACAAGATACATGTTTTTACTGAGTCTATTGAAAAGGTTTCCACCAAAACAGATCACCAGGTCCCTGTGGTGACAGTCAGTGCACCAAGCCCTGAGGTTGGTCCCATTTATTCTCATGCTGCTCAGAAAGGAGGAACCCCTAGGCCAGCAGTGGCCTCAACTATCACTACTCATCAGCCAGCTTGGGTTATCCAGGACGTTCCAACTCACACACCCCAGCTCCAGCAGCAGTATGGAAGACGAAGGAAAATTTCTGGTCGGAGACAGATTGTGAGACCAGGACGTATCCCAAGTTTGAAAGAGCACCGATACAATTTTGGGAGGGCAGGGTCTGCCAGAGGAAATACAGCTGTGGCTGCAGGTGTTCAACTGAATATGAAATATGTATCAAATGTACCAACCTTAAATAATTTAAGCAGCTCCATCAACTCATTTAGCCCAGAAGCCCCCCTGTCCTCCCCCTCCACCATGAATTTGCCATTGGAGCAAATGGGTACCCCTCAAAACACATTGTTCCTCAAGGAAGAGGAAAACGAACATAGTGCAAGGCAAAAAGCTGCTACCACAGTCACGTCTGTCACTACAAAGGGCACTGCTACTACTCGCAACCCTACCAAACTGTTGGGTTTGAAGCCAACAGTCACATCTTTTATTACTCTTCGATCTGACACTAGAATCACCAAAAGTAAAATATTAAGAGTGGGAGGAAGGAGAGGTCAGAGGAGGAAGAAGCCCCCTAAAACATCTGCCCTGCAGCATGTGGCTGCAGCCCACAGCACTGCAGCCACCCCCCCCGTGAGCACAGCCACCCCCGTGGTGACAGCAGGTACATCACCAGCTGTGTCTCCAAGTCTTACACCTGCAAAACCTCTCCCTGGGAGCGTCAGCGCCGTCGCTGTAACCGAAACACCAGCACTGTGGATCTCTGACACCCCAGAGCCACCTCAGCATGTACCCACAGCAGCCACACAGACCCTGGTGACCCCGGTCACACAGAGGAGCTCCCAGCTGGCCACGTCACTGCCCACCAGTCCGACTGCTCACAGCCCCACCATGGCACTCCAAACCACACCAGTCACAACAAGGAACACCCAGCTGGCCACAGCACCACCCGTCAGTCCTGCCCACACCTCCACCACAGCTCTCCAAACCCCACCATGGCTGGATGAGCCTCCTGGTGCTGCAAGTGCCCAACCTGCTGCAGTCAGTGCCACATCAGGGGCAGCATCTGCTCAGCACATCAGAGCCACTGCCATGGCAGGAGAATTCCACCTGAAAATGGGGGAGACAGTTAGCAAGGAAAACCAGGCAGCACAGCCCACATTCCCAGCAAGAACTGTGTCAAGTGCTCCTGCTGCACTCACAGACATCATCATTCCCAGCACTCAGCATCCCACCCCTCTGCCAGCCCCGATGGCAGCTGTGCCACTTGCACCTACTGTGAGAGCCCACCTGCCTCCATGGGAGCATGTCCAGTTCTGGCCCAGGCCACGTACCAAAGGCACAGAGAGGGGCAACACGCTGACTGTCGGGACACTGACCACACCGAAGTCATCACAGACAGCAGCTCCGTGGGGAAGGGACAAGGACAGCTCTGCCAGAGGCTGGTCTGAATGGAGACAAGATCAAGAAACCACCACCACCCCCCCCAGTCCCATCGTCTTGGGCTCTGCAAGCACAAACCATTTTGCAAAGCCCAGAATAGTTGGAGGGAAATTGGCTGCTTTCACTGTGCTGGCAAATTCTGACGCTTTTATTCCTTGTGAAGCTACTGGGAACCCCCGCCCAGCAATACACTGGACCAAGATATCGTCAGGTGAGCTCGATAAACCTCTATAGGATTTACATTCCACTAGAGTCCTAAAATTTGACAGCTGTTCTGTGTGCCAAACTCAAACACTGTTTCATTTTAAAGCACTATAGAATACCAGTGAACAGCGAACTTGGAAACAGTGACAAAGACAGAGATCCAACACTTGCTGGAGTGTCCGAGTGCTGATTCTGGAATAGCTCTCTAGGGAAAGGATAAAAAAATAATCTATATTTAACTAGAATTCTGTGCTTATTGTGGTAAGATTTCAATATTTGTTGTGTGTTACCTGCTATTCCAGAACAGTGAGACAAATGAAAAGAAAAATCTGTGGTAACAAACCCTCAAATCCAGTTACAGCTGTGCCGGGTTTGGATCGCAAAGCCCCATCTCTTTTATCCAAACTTTGTCTCTGCTGGGGACTCAGCTTTGTCACTCCATATGCAAAATACTCTGATTTTCTCTGTCTTATCACTATTGTCTTGGTTATTGGGGCAATGCAGACCAGGGCAGGGAACAGGTATTCATGGACTGAATTAAACTAGAAGATTAAACTAGAGGAAGGTTCTGACACGTCACCACTGTCCCCTTTCCTGCAGGGCCCGACGCTCCGGGGCGCGGCGGTGCCGGCAGGTGGGTGGTGTTTGCCAACGGGACGCTGTCCATCCCCCAGGTGGGCCTGGGGGACCGCGGGCAGTACCTGTGCACCGCGGCCAACGCGCTGGGCACGGCACGGCTCCTGCTCACCCTGTCGGTGGTGGCCTACCCGCCCCGCATCGCCGGCACCCGCCACCGGCTCCTCACCGCGCACGCCGGCAACACCGTGACCGTGTCGTGCAAGGCCGAGGGCAGGCCCCCTCCCACCATCTCCTGGGTGCTGGCAAATAACACCCACCTCTCCAGCTCCTCCGCAGGACATGACAAAGCTCACGTGGAAGCAGACGGCACTTTAGTCATCCGGGAAGTCACCGTGTACGACAGGGGCCTCTACACCTGCCTGGCCAAAAACCCCGCGGGCACCGACACGCTGGCTCTGAGGCTGCAGGTCGTTGTGGCCCCTCCCACCATTCTGGAGGAGAAGAGACAAAGCATGGAAGGAAAGATGGGGGAAAGCCTGAAATTCCCTTGCACAGTGCAAGGGAACCCTCAGCCCACTGTCCATTGGGTCCTCCCTGATGGCACAGCAGTGAAGCCTCTGCAGTTGGTACACACGAGGCTGTTCCTGTTCTCCAATGGCACCCTCCACCTCGGCAGCATCGGCCCTTCCGACGGCGGGAACTACGAGTGCATAGCCACGAGCTCCAGCGGCTCGGACAGGAGGGTGGTCAGCCTCGTGGTGGAGCACAGGGACACGCTTCCAAAGATAGCCATCACCTCTCAAGAACTGACTCACCTGAATTATGGAGATAAGTTGCTTCTGAACTGCACAGCAACCGGGGAGCCCAAGCCCAGGATCATGTGGAGGTTGCCCTCCAAGGCTGTGGTGGACCAGTGGCACAGGTACGACTCTTTTTTTTTTTCCACCTCTTTGGAACTTCAAATACTGTCTCCTCTGGTGGTCATGTAAAAGTGTGTTGCAGCACTAAAGCACTGTGAACTAAATTAATTTTTAAACATCCAGCAGCGGTGAAAATATCTGTGCTAATGGCTTGTTGTTATATGTCTAGTCACAGATCCTATCAATTGCCATAAGTGGGTGAGGTCTCCCCAAATCAAATATAAGTCATATTTGAATTAAGGGAACTGCTGTTATCATGCCCTGGCTGACTGTTGCCAGTTTAGAGGAGAAGTTTTATGTACCAGATTTGCCAAGTAGGGTTCAGGAGGAAGGGGCTTCTGTAGCCTCTGATAAGTCTACCTTTGGGGGTCTCCCCCCACCCCCTCCCACAGTAACACTTCACCTTTGCTTTGGGAGACAGTCCTAGCTCAGGGTGTTCCCAGCAGAGTTAACATGCAAAAATCCATGTAACACCAGAAGTGACAATGACATCACCTTAGGACCCAGTGGGCAGGCAGGTGGTGTGGGCACAGTGCCTTTGGAGAGAACGCCTGTGTCCTATCGTGCTGTTGACACCTTCAATCCCTTCCAGTGCTCGGTATTCACCCCCAGCACTTGGTTCCATAATTCTTTTCCTCTCTCTCCCCCCCCAGCAGAATGGGAAGTCGGATCCATGTCTACCCCAACGGATCCCTGGCTATTGAGGCAGTCACTGAAAAGGATGCAGGTGATTACCTGTGTGTCGCAAGAAACAGACTTGGGGATGATCTGATCCTGATGAGAGTCAGCATCACAATGAAACCTGCCAAGATTGACCACAAGCAGCACTTCAAGAAACTGGTGCCATATGGCAAGGATTTCAGAGTGGACTGCAAGGCCTCAGGGTCGCCCACGCCAGAAATATCTTGGGGTCTGCCAGATGGAACGTTGGTCAACAACGCAATGCTGGCGGATGACAGCGGGCACAGGTCCCGCAGGTACGTCCTCTTTGACAATGGGACTCTGTACCTCAACAAAGCTGGGGTGACAGAAGGAGGAGATTACACCTGCTATGCCCAAAACACTCTGGGGAGGGATGAGATGAAGATCCGTGTCACAGTCATCGTGGCAGCCCCTCAGATAAAGCACAATTACAAGACATACGTTACAGTGTCAGCTGGACACACGGCACTGCTGGACTGTGAAGCTGCTGGAGATCCCAGGCCACAGATATTCTGGTTGCTGCCTTCCAGTGAGATGATCTCCTCGTCCACGGGCAGACACTTCCTGCACACCAACGGCTCTCTCTCCATCAGCCACGTCAAACTGCTGGATGCTGGGGAGTACATGTGTGTGGCTCGGAACCCTGGTGGGGATGACACCAAACTGTATAAGCTGGATGTGGCTGGTAAACCCCCCATCATAAACGGCCTATACAGGAACAAAACAATCATGAAGGTAACAGCAGTGAGGCACTCAAAGAAACACATTGACTGCCGGGCAGAGGGGACACCTGCCCCTCAGATTATGTGGGTCATGCCTGATAACATTTTCCTAACAGCCCCGTATTATGGGAGCAGGATCGTGGTGCACAAAAATGGGACACTTGAGATTCGGAATATCAGGCCTTCGGACACGGGGGATTTCATCTGTGTGGCACGGAACGACGCGGGAGAGAGCGTGCTGGTGGTGCAGCTGGAGGTCACAGAAATGCTACGGCGACCAATGTTCAAAAACCCATTCAACGAAAAAATAATAGCAAAACCTGGGAAAACTATCACACTGAACTGTTCTGTGGATGGAAACCCTCCCCCAGACATAAGCTGGATGCTGCCCAATGGCACATGGTTTTCCAGCAGCATCAGCACGTCCCAGTTTCTCACAGGAAGCAATGGGACCCTGACCATCTACAGTCCCAGGAGAGACCAAGCCGGGCGGTACCGCTGTGCTGCCCGGAACCAGGTTGGCTATATTGAAAAGCTGATCGTCCTGGAGGTTGCCCAGAAGCCCAATATCCTCACCCACCCCGTGGGGCTGGTGAAGGGCGTCAGCGGGGAGCCGCTGTCCCTTCACTGCCTGGCCGAGGGGAGCCCCAAGCCCAGCACCACGTGGACACTGCCGGGGGGCCGCGTGCTGGACCGGCCGCAGGTCAGCGGGAGGTTCCTGCTGCTGGAGAACGGCACCCTGGTCATCAGGGCGGCCACCGCCCACGACGGGGGCACTTACGTGTGCCGGGCCCGCAACGACGCCGGCGACTCCTCCGTGAGCGTGGCCGTGGCCGTGGCCGCCCACGCCCCGCGCATCACGGGCAGGCCCCCGCCCGCCCTGCACACCGTGCCGGGGGCAGCCCTGCAGCTCCACTGCACCGCCCTGGGGACACCCAAGCCGGACATCACCTGGGAGTTACCTGACCGCTCCACGCTCTCCACAGCTCACCAGGGCCGAGGGGCTGGGGGTGAGCTGCTGCACCCCACCGGGACTTTGTTCCTCCAGAACCCCCGACCCTCCAGTTCCGGCATGTACAAGTGCACGGCCAGGAACCCCCTGGGCAGTGACTTCGCAGTAACATACGTCCACGTCATCTGAAGTCAGACGTGCAGCAGGAATGATGGTGAACACGGGCTGCAGCTGGACTGAGGTCATCCTTGGAATGAGTTTAATCAAAGGCATCCAGAGGCACCGAGTGCCTGGAAAACATTTACAATATTCAGTCTGCAGTGACTGGGCAAAAGGAGAGAGGAAGGGGAAAATTAGCTCTAGCATTGTTAGCTAGCATTGCTTCTCTCCATGTTCAAGGGATTTAAATTAAAGCAAACTCTGCCAGCAAACATAGACCATCAAACACAATTTACTTTCTGGAAATGTACACAGAGAGCTCCTGTATGGACAGACTTTTTCAGTACTGCCCACCCGGTATGATTGTCATAAGCACAGATCATAGAGAGCAAGAACATCTGGGAACTAAAGAGCAGGTTTATTGGGATGCAGATCACCTTCTTAATGTGTTTTAATATTTAGTATATTTTTTAAATAAATATTTCATGGTGAAACAAGTAGTGAAGTATTTTTAACAGGATAGCTCTGCTTGCCACAGTCTTTTCTGCAGAGCTGTGGTATGACACAGGCCAGCTTTGCACTCAGTTTGGAACAAGAGAGGGAGCTCTGCTCAGCACTGCTAAGCCATTGCACACAGACTGGGTGTAGAACCACTGCAGCTTGGCATCATTTTCTTATTGCCACAAAAGCGTTTTTTTAAAGTTTCTCACTAGAAAACAATTGCTTGAATTTGTGACTCAATTTAGAATTGTGATTCCTCAGTTCAGCAGCCACATAGGCCTAAAAAGGAACTTCTGTACCTGATGGGAAAATCCCTTTGTGATGGTAGGAAATGGTTACCTGCCCATTTCACACTGACCAATCACAGAGTGGACTGCTCAAATCAATTTTTAAAATATTTAAGCCTGTAACTAAGGTTCAGAGTTTCTTATTTTCTTCCTAAGAAATACATTCATGCAGGACAGAGGGCTCAAAATACACACACAAATTCCCCTCTTAAATTTGGGAATCTATGTGTGGTCAGGGCACTTTGTGAATCCATCCCTGACATCAGCCACACACAGTCAGTATTCCCTTGTTCCCTCCTTCCACAGCACTGATGGATTGGTGGCCACAGAGGGGGTGGATGACGTGAATCTCAACAGTTAATCTCTGTAATAGCTTAAGCTACTAAAAAGAGCAGTAAATATCCTTTAAAAAAATGGACAGGAGTAACTTTTACATGAATGAGACTCGACTGTTGTAAAAGCCAATCAAAATCTACAGATTTCCGTGTAGTGAGTTATTCTTATATTACATATATATGATGTATACGAGATATAGATATAGATATACTATGCATCATTAGCTGGCTGTGCTGGCCCAGGCCCTCTAAAGCGTGTGAGGTGCAGCCTTCCCCCTCCCCACACAACACCTGGCTATGACACCATCCACAGCCTCCTTGTATGGTCAGTTAAGCAAACTGAGTTAGTGAAAAATAGGGAAAAATATTCCCAGAGTATTTTAAATGCCCTTCAAGTTCCACTTTCAAAATGAATGCATTAAAAAACCCCAATAGCTCCTAAATGACATAAAGTAATAATAAATTTATTCTGGTTTTTCACCTCCAGTATGGGAAAAATTATGATCTATTTGCACAGGTCTGAATAACAATGATTTGTTTGTGGTGATTTTGGTTGATAATTTGCCTGTGGATTTGTACTCACTGATGATGCAATGCCTCGTGCCAGCTGTTGATTCCCACCTGGGGTTGGGAATTCCTGCCGTGCCCCGCTGGTACTGACACAGGTGACAGAACAGCTCCTCCAGGGAAAGGAGGATCATCCAAAGGCTGTTGGCTCCAGGGCAGCTGAACCCACGGGAAAGACTCGGGGGGGCTCTGCCACACTCACGCTGGGAGGGCTGGGATGGGACCAGTCCCTGCTGGCACGGGGGAGACACGGGGGGTCACCTCCCACCAGGACTCAGAGACTCCCTACGGGAATGGAGCAAAGCCCCCCAGAGCACTCAGTCCCCATCACCCCTGGGACCATCCCCTGGGAGCTTCGGTGACAGACCCCAGATGAGAACAGTTACTTCCAGAAGGTTTATTAACGTGACACTGTGGCTTTTAATATAAACTTTAAGAAGTTCTAACACAAGCAATAAACCCACTTCAGCACCTTCTTACCACAATAAGAGCAAGAGGAATTGGTACTTTAAACAAAGAACTTTATAAAGTGCATGTGAAAATCACAGTCAAATAAACACGATTTGAACTGACGCTTGTTCTACCAACAAAGAAAGAGGTGAACATTTTAATGAACAAATTAACTTCTATGCCAAAATCTGAAGTGCCTTTCAGTTCAGTAGTTTGGTCCAGTGTAGCTCTTTTTTTTTTTGCAAAAAAAAAGTTTTCCCCACAAATAAATAAATAAATCCAGCATTCTTTGTCCTCTTTAAAAGTAACAGGACCTAAAAAGCACCAAATTCATAAAATCTGCAATAACATTCTTCAAATAGGCCCACAAGTCCATACATTGAAATCTAGTTAAATGCAAAAATAACCCCAAACCCACCTTGTTACATATTCACATCAATTGCAGCACAAAAAATAATGATGGAAATAAGAAGAGAGCTCAAGTCTGCTGTCTAACCATGAGCAGTACATTGAATTTCCAGAGTCCTGTTCCTCAGTGCAAAGGTCCCCTGGGCCCCCCCCAGCCATGGTCAGAAGTGGGGTAACCTTGCTGTGGCTGGTTACCTGGTGGAGGAAGCAAAGGGGGTGACTGTACCAAAATACAGAAAAACACCTGTATTTGCTGCAGCGGTGGCAAAAACCAGGCTGCACACCCCTCCTCCCCTGAGGCCAGAGGCACTCACTGCCCCGGGGACCTTTCCTGCGGAGGGTGAGGGGGCCCAGCCCCAGCCCTGTGCTGGGGGTGACAGGACCACCCCATGGGCTGCCCCAAACCCAGGGCTTTGGTGTCACGCCAGGACGGGGACAGGTACCCACTGCCAGTGGGTGAACGACCTCCGTGTACATCTGGCAGCAGGTAAATAGGCAGGAGATCTCCAGAAAGATAATTTCCTGTTCAAACACACATTTCCACAGCCTGTGCACACACTTACTGGAGAGCTGCTTCTGGAGCTGCCGGACCAGCGCCGCCGTCTGCTGCTGCTGCGGGGTCTGCGGCAGGCCCGGCCGCGGGAACTGCAACGGGAACAGCCAAGCTCAAGGGACCCACACGGTGCCCCTGCCACGGCAGGAACCACAGGGTGCTGGGCTGGTGCCACCCCGGCACAGGGGCCAGGCCGTGGGGAGGGCAGCGAGGGCAGGTGGGTGTCCTGGCTGGGGTTTAACAGCACAGCAAGGACACGGGGAGCACCCTCAGAGCTCACAGAACATCTGTTCTCTGCCTGCCCTGGAATCTCACACTGTTCAGCCTGGGGAGCCCTCACTGGCCGTGGCCATGGCATTAGGCACAGTGTGATGAGCACCCCAAACCCAGCCTCTATCACCCATCTCTGACTCACCCTCAGGTCTCTCAGCTCAACAGGTCTGCCTCCTAAATCCCAATTTTTGTTTTTCTCATTAGGTCTAGTGCAAATGCACACGCTTCTAATTTTAATTAAGTGATTCTTCTGCACAGGGATACATGATGCAGTTTGGAAACCTGAGGTGCTGAATAAAATTTGAGTAATCTCATACCTTAATAACTCTGTGGGCGCTGCAGAAACCGCCTGAGCTTTGCTCAGCAAAACCTTGTGCTTACTGAAGGCAGTTTCAGCATTTTACAAGACTTCAGCATCTTTTCCCTTTCTGAAACCAAATCCTTCACTTAAAATATGTTGTGTAATCTCCTGGCTACCAGGCCATAGTAAGTGCTAGGTTAGTCAAAGGTATTAGCCACCACTCCGGGGTTTTTGGGAACACAAACCCAACCCACAGCACCTTCTGCTGTGCAGATGTTGGCAGAGGAGCCTGTGCTGAGCAGGTGCCCATTGCTGTGACACTCTCCCAGCAGTTTGTTCAAGATATAAAACCTATTAAGAAAAACTCAAAAATGGATGAAAATTATCTCAGATTAATGCTTTTAAACTTGGAGGCTGCAATTTCACCATTACTGTATTTTTTCTACTTTTCTAGTTATCCTCATCTACCTTAAATATGTTTGGAAAAACTGTGGAAATAAAGGGAACAAGCATAATGAGATTGTAAATTCAGTGGATGTGTCCAGAAAAATTACTTGGTAGTGATGGTGATTGGGTCAAATCATTCCCTAAATTATCAAGGGCTCCAATCAAGCAGAAAGTTGTGTCTCAAAAGTAATTCAGTTTGTTCAGCTGTCTTCATGCAGCTCTGGTTTATGACTAACTATATAATTTAAAAGTATCTTCAAAAAATAAACCCCATTTTTCCCCTAGCCTGTTAGCAGTACATCCCAAAAATCCAAGGTGGGAAAGGCACCTGTGATGGGACATGGCAGGGGCCGGAGCTCAGCCATGGTGGAGCTGCCAGGGCATGGGGGTGCTCCACAAACACAGCACAAGCACGAGGGGCAGTGCCAACCATCAGCACCTCACGTGGCCAAGGGAAGGCTTCCTCGTGCACAAGTGACAGAGCCCACCCTGTCCCTCCCCACACCCCCCGAACACCCCGAACACTCTGCTCACCAGCGGCTGCTGTGCCTGCAGGGGCTGGAGTCCAAGAGCCAGCTGCTGCTGCTGCTGCACCTGGGAGAAGGTGGGCACTGAACAACGGGGACATGGCCCACACTGCCTCAGGGACTCGCCTCCAAATTAAAAAATATCACCAAACCAGAACAGAGGAGATGGGCCAGACCTGCGAGAGGCCCTTTGGTTTAACGCCAGTGACATTGTAAGGCCAGACAGGGAGTGTGCAACCACCACCTCTGCCCAGCACATCCAGCCAGGCCATTCTCAAAGCTACCTTCTCCAGGGGTATTCCCTAATCCAGAAAATCCAAGTACAGAGTTTTACACGTATGTCCAGAGCTCCCTTCTGGAAGTCCCAAAAGTAAACAATGAATGACTGCACTCAGGGAAAGGCAGGTGGGGTTTGTAGCACCAGGCTCTGGAGTTTCAGACTCGAAGACCTGTGCGAGCGAGTGTGTAATGCTCTCACTGACACAGTGATGCTCACACCCTCTGCTCTGTCACACCCTCTACTCTGTCACAGCCCCTGCTCTGTCACAGCCCCTGCTCTGTCACAGCCCTCACCTGGAAGAGCTGCTGCTGCCTCTGCCTGCCCGGCTCCAGCGGCTGCCCCACGCCCAGCCCAGGGTGTGGCCCCACGGCCGAGGCGCCGTCCAGTCCCCCTCCAACCAGGGAACCCGTCTGCAAAGGCTGATGGCTCAGTCTGGTGGGGAAAAATGACAGATTAAACTTCATTTACAGAGCACAGTGGTCTGGGAGAACTCGA